ACACACACATATATACACACACCCACACACACAAACACATCTATATATACATATGTGTATGTGTGTGTGTGTGTGTGTGTGTGTGTGTGTGTGTGTGAAAGTGTGAAAGTGTGTATGTGCGTATGTGTGTATATGTGTGTGTGTGTACATAAAGACTAAAAACATGCCCCAGTTACTGCATAAAGCTATCTGACCCTGACTTCACTCTATCTCATTCCACGGAGGCTACAGGCATAACAACCCCCCCTCCCCCCTCCCCCATATCCCCCCAAGACAACACCATTCGAAAACGTATGATCAGTTTCCCCTTACCCTGAATTTGGCCAAGACTAAACAAAGCCGACAGACACAAAACAGCTGTGTGTGTTAAGTGCACAGATGTTTGGGTGTGACGAAGAGGGGATACAAGTGTAAACTTTTGTCTGACTCACAGTTTGGTTATTACTGTGTAGGGAAACGGATGTAGAGCTTTTTTCTTTTAGTATTATATATCTGGTAAGTTGATGGCAGCATAATGTATTATATATGTATATAAATGTGTGTAGATTTACACACACATACACAAATATATCTATCTACCTATATGAACATGCATATACGCGTGCGTGCATGTTTGTGTGTGCCTGTATCTTTGTGTATATATATGTATCTATCTCTATATGTATGTATGTGTGTATATATGTATATACATATATATACATACATATATATGTATATATACATATATATATATATATATATATATATATATATATATATATGTATATGTGTATATATATATATATATATATATATATATATATATATATATATATATATATATATATATATATATGTATGTATGTCACCATTGAAAAAGTCAGACAATAATCATTACAAGTGTCTGGTTCTGAAATTGAAGCGAACAAACAAAATTACAAATAGGTAAAAGTAAACAGGAACAATATGTACACAGACGTAATGCAAATGAAAACATAAGAAAATCATACAATATAAGCATTTAAATGAAATAAAATATCTTACGCATAAACTATAACCACCAATATGAGAAACTAACCAAAGTGGGTGTTGGTTGAGAGGGAAGGCCTATTGGATGAACAAGGCGCTTGCGGTGGTTGTGTTGTTTAGTTCAGGTTTCATCTGTATAAGCAAAGATTCTGAGATGATAAGTTCTGGCCGAGAGAAGTTTGAGGATAGAATACTGAAATCTGTGTTACGGAAAGAGTGTAAATGAAATTGGGAGTGTTCTCTTATTGCCGAGAAAGATGGTTTGCTCAGTGGAAGGCCAGTCCTAAAGGATTTGCCTGTGTGTTCTAGGATGAGGTGTCGTAACCATCGTGAGGTAGACC